GCAAAATTTTCAATTAAAATAGACTTTTTATAGTAGCGTTGATAAGTATATATTATATATACCGAGTAAACTAGGGCTGGACGTTTCGGTTCGGTTCTTCGGAACCGGACCGAACCGAACCGTTAAAACGGTATTTTTTCTGATCCGGAACCGCTGTTATTTTCCGAACGATACCAATTTTAGAGAACCGAATTTTTCCGGAACCGTACCGAACCGAACCGAACTTTAAAAATCCCGAAAAACCGAATATTTTTAAACCAGGAACCGAACCGAACCGATACCGAAATCGAACTGAACCGAATACAATAAAAAATCCGATTGGTACCTATTTTTGTAAAACTGAAAGAACCGAACCGATCCATTCTGTCCCGAACCCGAACCGTTTCCCGAAACGTCCACCCCTAGAGTAAACATACACATAAATCTTGCAATATATATATATATATATATTGTTGATTACCCTATAATCATATATGTACGAGTTTCATATAATTTTGATTCTTATTAATATATTTAGAATCTTCAAGACATTGATCCAAAGACTAGTTGATTCCGTTTGAATAAAGTTGGTTATTGATAGAAATTTTTTAAAATGGTTATAAAAAGGAGTGTACGTAATTGATCCAAAATTAGAATATAGATGTTGTTTGACTAATTCCAATTCCAATGAGATTTTTAAGACATTTCTTTTTCAAATTAGCATTATTTTTTTACAGATTTTGTTGTCATGTGGATTTTTCTGATATTTCACTGCAAGAAATTGTACTTTTTATTCGTCGAAACGCTAATTTCTATTTTATTTTGCTCTTTTAGGTATTATATCATACGATTAAAAAATGTAAACTCAGAGTGACAAGAAACAGATTATAATTTTTTTTAATACAAAATACTTTTTTTTTGGAATTTCTCGATCTAAGAGCTGGCTGATACGAGAATTTCTTAATCTATATATTTTTTTGTAGGCAGGAAAAGATATTAAAATTTAAAAACTAAAATAAAAGAAGAACTATACAAGGACGGCATGTGAGGCCGTACATGGTGCAGGAATTTCTGGGTACGTATATGTTTACTTTATGAAAAAAAAACAAATAGTAATAGTTTCTATTATATATATATCCATTATCTGAGATTTTTTTATAATATTTTTGAGAGTTAATGAACTGTTAAAGGTATATATATATATATATATATATAACTTATTAGGTCGTTGTAAAAATTCTTGATGTGGACATTCTACCGTGAAAATTTCACTTCATTGCAAAAAGCCAAACATAAAACAATGATTAGCATATATTATACGTGCGTGCGTATATTTTCTTGTAATGTTCACTAAATCACGCATTATTGTATCTTTAATCCAGGCCAAAAAGATTTCGAAATTAAAAGCTGCAAATTTTGTCATGTTTATTAAGTCTTTAGTATATATGGTTTGAATATAAGGGATTACACATAATCAATATGCGTAATTGAATATATATATATATATAGTTTCTATTTATGTATGTATGTGTGAGTGTGAGAAACACAACAATATATCAAACAAAGCAAACCGAATATTTTCTTACATTGTATTGAGTAGATCGTGACTTGTTGAAAGTTAAACTCTTCAAATAGAATTTTGACAAGTAATCAGGGATATTTAATATAACAATTATTGTGTTCCATATTTTGCATAATTAATTGTTTTTTTAATAGAAAATGAAATATTATTGTAAGGTATGTTTTATACGAAATAGCCTCACTTCATGAGTCATACATAACTCAGGAAATTCATTGATGAAATATTATTTTAAAAAAGTCAAACACCGAATGATATATTAAATAATGTTGAATTAACAAAATTATCATCAGTAATCAATCGTGTTATTTATTGGTTAATTGGAATTATTTAAAAATAAAATAGTTGTGTATTTGGAAAATAATTTCTTAGTCCAAATGAACTAATAACAAGTGTAACAGCTTGCTCATCCTTACGCAATCTCATGAGTCATGAAAACATTAATTTCATTAACTATTGTATATACATATATATAAGTTAAAAAATATATACTAGACGACCAAATTGGTGTGAACACTTTATTGTAAATAGAAAAAACTTCTAAATTTTTTTTCCGGAATCATTTTTTCCTTTTTATTATCACATGAATAACATTTACAAATGAAAATGTAATAGTTTATATACGAAAAAGGTGGACTATATAAAATATAATCAAATTACACATATTTTTTAATTTTTTTTTTAAATTTTAAAATCATATTTCCATAATCGTCATGTCGAACACCATGATTCACGTCAAATAAACAAAAAAAAAACTGTAATACAGTAACAAATTATAAAAAAATTGAATTCACATTTTCGTACCAACAAAAATTATAAAAATAATTGTTGATGTTGTTATTATTGATAATTGAAAAAGTTTAAATACCATAATAATTCTTTCGAATATAATTTATATTATAATTAAAAAACTAAATCCAAATATAAAACCATAATAACGTATAAACTCAAACTCTTCTTAATATTTACATGTCACATGTGTTTATTTATAACGCTTCTTTATAATAATATCATTGGCATCGTTTCGGTAATTTAATATTATATTTTTCATTTAATAAAATTCATAAATATAGGAGAAAAAATCGAAGCATAGTATATACGGAGTCAAAATGGATCACTTCTAAAATTAATTAAAAGGGCATGTCTTTTTGTTTTTAAAAAGACTAGTCGCTGCAGAAAAAAACGTCAACAAAATGTTGGTGGAGAGATTATCTCATATATATATATACACACATACATACAGAAAATAGTATCATAATTACTTATGCGAACATAGTTAAAAATAATTTTTCTTTTTTAAACTAATTCATATAAATGAATAATAATCAATCTTGATTTTATGTTTATATTTCCAATAAAACTATACTAATGATTTTTATCTTATATTTTAGTCATCTTATAATGTATATATCCAATAATTAAATCTGAATAACTAATGTTTCGGATTTCTATTATATCTCATGTAATTTAGTTTTTTCAAACTCGTCTTTTTTTTTTCTCTCTGTATATATAATTTCTTATTTGTTTCTTTATTTTGTGTCCTATTTCTATCGAATCAAAATAGGAGCCAGGCATATTATCATTATACAATTAAATGATACTGTGTACAGTTAAATAGAACAAAGAAATATTATGAATTTTCAGATTGAAAATCATAAAATAAAATTATTTCAAGTCAATTTAATCTACGACATGTTATATAGATGAAAATTTTATTTATAAATGGATGTAAAAGAATCCTGAAAAAGAAAACGCACGAGATGTAGATCTCCAAACGTTATAAATAAATTATTTTCAACTGTTTTGTCAAAGAAATTATTTTCAACTTACAAAAACGAAATTCACAAAATAATAATAATAATTTGTATCCTATATTTTTTTTGAAATACTTCATCCCATTTCATGGTTTCTTTCACCATTGTCTATATTGTATCTCTCATTGTCATAATTCTTTTCAATATATAAATTATCATAACAATATGAAGATTTATATTATGGGATTAGAATAGATAGAACAATAATAAGAAGGCACGTATAAAAAAAGAAGAGAAAAAGAAAAATAAGGCAGAAATATTTAAATAATAGAATCACATAAATAGTATTTTAGGATAATTTTGTACAATTGAAAATTTGAAAAATGAAATCAGCATTAGAAACTTTTAATAATATTTGTGATAATTCCCAACAAAAAAGGAGGAAGAAAAGAGGAAGTTCTATTATTGGGGGTCCCATCACAATCAAAAGTCAAATCTTCAATTATCTTCACGGGAAAAAAATCGTAATCAAAACATTTATTAAGTTATATGATTGAAAATTATTTAATGAAATATATTATCCACATCATGTGCCATCGTTCCAATTGCTGACCATGCCATGAGGCAAATTGGGAAGGGCCATTTTCCCTTACCATCCCTTCAGGGCCATAATAGTTATTAGTTATACACACACACACACATTATATATATATATATATATAGGCTTGTGAATATAATATTATATTATTCCATAAATCTCAATAATTTCTAAAAAAATATTCAAGTTGATTCCAAGTCAAAACTCAATCAAAAGAGGAATCCGACATAACCAGCATGTTCTGTTTGAGGAGTTAATCAAGTACTATTATTAGCATGTAATTGTGTGTAAACCGTAATTTATGATGGGGTTTTTATAATTTAGTTCCCGAATAATTATTATTGGTCATGACTTATAATTGGTCTATACTTAACATGCCTGCAATATTTTCATAACAATTCCACTAAATATTATTCGCTTGAAAAATCTATGTCAAACCAAAATTTCTATAAAAAGTTTTATATATCTATATATATGTATACAATTAAATCAAAATTAATAATTAGAATATATTATTTTTAAAAATTAATATAAAATACTACAAAAAAACTCAACAAAAATGAATTATTTTAAGAAACAAGTCATCTTCGTAATAAAAATAAAATGCAAAATAAAACATAAATAGAATTTGAAACGATTAAAATAAAAAATTATGGATATTTTTTTAAAAAACGAATAAAAATGGCATGAAAACTCAAAATATTCACCATATGAACAAAATATCATTGATATTTAGTTTCATTCAAAACAAAAAAATTAGAACTGAACACCGTAATTAATCTCTGACGTAAATAAATAAATAAATTTCCCCCAAAATTTTAGCGAAACGGACGCACAAATACTGGCAGATGAATAATGATGGACATTAAGCCACTAATCAACGGTCAAAACATAGAGGGCCAGGAAAAAGAGAAATTAAAATTTAAAAAACAAAAAAAAGGGGCAAAATGGAGACGGCGGTGGGTCCCACCAGACTAAAACGGCGGAGACGTCCGTCGTTTTTACTGGTATAAAATGGGAAGCGCATCGTCGCTGCAACAGAAACTCGCTCCTCCTACCTCTCTCTCTCTCTCTGGGGCATGATCGAGTGTTGAAACGGTTGGGTGTGTTTTCGCGGTCGTTGGTTCAGCGGAGGAGGGCGAGATGTCGAGTCTCGAGGATATCAAGAACGAAACCGTTGATCTGGTAAAAATTCTTTTCCTTTTCCCTCGCCTTCTCTCACCCTTTCTCGGCCGTGCTATCATGGCCGCAAGGTGTTTGATGATTTGCTTGAGTGAGATGGATACGTACACATCCCTTCATCATGCATGTTACTTTTTGTTGGGGGTTTTATTTCTGAGCTTCGATTATCATTATATTTTTCCTGTAAAAAGCTTTATTGTTCCCTCCTGGATCCTATACTGGAATCAGAAGTTTTTCCATTTTGATTCCTTTTTTCCCCCGGGAAATCTTCAGGTTTTATTGGGCAGACAGAACAAATTTATTGGGAATTAGTAAAATAAAAAGTCTGGGTGTTTCTTAATATGTTCTGTTTTCAGCCCAGAGAGTTCTCTAAGATGTCGAATTTGTTCTTCAGAAGGAAAGCAGATCTACGCATGTGAACATGAAAAAAAGTGAATGCCTTTAGTGTTGGAGATAGCTTCTTCTCAATAAATGTTTTTCGCAGTATAATTAATTAAAATACAAAAGTCCATTTGCTTGTAAAACTGTCTTCTTTTCTTCCTCTCTTTCTCTCTCTCCTTTTTTTTTTTTCTGTATTAACAGTATGACGATGCATAATTACTTATGTCAATATCTATATTTTCATTTTAATCTTCGACCCACAGAGGAAAAAAAGGATCCCAAATCAGAAACTTTGCGAAATATATCATAAGCAAAGATAAGATTTCATTTCGTATGTGAATTGTTTTGTTAAAAGTTGGGATTTTTATGTACCTTTTCCGTGGTACGCTTTGCCTTTTCTGTCTTTGGGAAAAAAGAAACAAAACTTTGGGAACTCATTGGGACAATAAAAAAAACTCCAGTCTGATCCTGCAATTAATAATTTTTCCATGATATGACCGAAATACCCTCGCCGGGCTTCGTGTTTCACGATCACGCGGGGCTTACCCTTCGTTGGCGGAGAGAATCCCGCGGCGCGTGTACTGCACGTCCCTATAACGTGGAGCTCTGGTGGTGGTCCTCACCTCGCCACCGCAACTTTTTTTTTTCTTCTTTGTCAGCACTCGTGGCGCCTCTCTCCGCCTCGGTTGGCTGCTTTCTGCCCATTCGCCGAGTCACGAGTTGACACGCAGCCGACTCGTTTGCTTCCGTTTCTAACTCGGAAAGTGATATAAAATTTTTTCCTGAACTGATTCGGGCTATTAGCCTATTCTAACTCTGAAAATTCTTGAACTGTTAAAAGTTACAAGGTTTCTTCTTTTGGGCCCTGAAGAAAGGTTTCTGTTTTTTTAGTGATCTGATGTATCCTATTTGAAGGCATGTATAAATCAGTAAGCTTCGGGTTTCTGATCGAACTTTGTTTTGGTTTCTCAGGAAAAAATCCCGATCGAGGAAGTTTTCCAGCAGCTAAAATGTTCCAGGGAAGGTTTGACATCGCAGGAAGGAGAAGACAGGATTCAAATCTTTGGCCCCAACAAGTTAGAAGAGAAAAAGGTTTGCACTTTGTTATCCGCCGTTGTTTAGAGCCATATATATTCTCTTTTTATGGAGTTAGGAGTTCTCGGTCACTTACAAGGTCAACTTGCACAATAAAAATGGCAGGAAAGCAAAATCCTGAAGTTTCTTGGTTTCATGTGGAATCCCCTTTCATGGGTCATGGAAGCTGCTGCTATCATGGCCATTGCTTTGGCCAATGGTGGTGGTAAGCCCCCGGACTGGCAAGACTTTGTTGGTATCGTCTGTTTGCTGGTTATCAACTCGACCATCAGTTTTATCGAGGAAAACAATGCCGGTAATGCTGCTGCTGCTCTTATGGCTGGTCTTGCTCCTAAAACCAAGGTAATGTAAGAATGGCATGAAATTACTGTAAAAAGTGAGGCGAAGCTTCCCTGGTGATGACAGGTTTTGCATGTTTTCTCGATATGATGTTTTTTCAGGTGCTTAGGGATGGAAAATGGAGTGAACAGGAAGCTGCTATTCTTGTTCCGGGAGACATCATCAGTGTCAAGCTGGGAGATATTATCCCAGCTGATGCCCGTCTTCTTGAGGGTGATCCCTTGAAGGTGGACCAGTCTGCTCTGACTGGAGAATCACTGCCTGTCACCAAGCACCCTGGTGATGAAGTTTTCTCAGGTTCAACCTGCAAACAGGGAGAAATCGAGGCGGTTGTTATTGCCACTGGTGTTCACACCTTCTTTGGCAAAGCTGCTCACCTTGTGGACAGCACCAACAATGTCGGACACTTCCAGATGGTTCTCACAGCCATTGGGAACTTCTGTATCTGTTCCATTGCTGTGGGTATGTTGATCGAGATAGTTGTCATGTACCCGATCCAGCGCAGGAAGTACAGGGATGGAATTGATAACCTTTTGGTCCTCTTGATTGGTGGTATCCCCATTGCTATGCCTACGGTTTTGTCTGTCACCATGGCTATCGGATCTCACAGGTTGTCTCAGCAAGGTGCCATTACCAAGCGTATGACTGCCATTGAGGAAATGGCCGGAATGGATGTCCTTTGCAGTGACAAAACTGGGACACTTACCCTCAACAAATTGAGTGTTGACAAAGCCTTGATCGAGGTTTTTGCCAAGGGTGTGGAGAAAGATCAAGTCCTCTTATTTGCGGCTAGGGCTTCCAGGGTAGAAAATCAAGATGCCATTGATGCAGCCATGGTTGGAATGCTTGCTGACCCAAAGGAGGTATGACTACTTCTGGTCTGAACTATTCACTCTTTAGTTTTGGGAAGACCGAGAATGATTTTGTCATGTCTTATTAAAAATGTCTGCATTTTTTGTAGGCACGAGCTGGGATCAGGGAGATTCACTTCCTTCCATTCAATCCTGTGGACAAGAGAACTGCTTTGACTTACATCGATTCTGATGGTAACTGGCACAGGGTCAGCAAGGGTGCACCTGAGCAGGTGATGAATCTATCTTGTGACTGAAAATAGATCTTAATAATTTCGTATTTCTGACAACTGGTTCACTTCTCCAATCTCCATACAGATCCTTGATCTTAGCAAAGCCAGGGATGATCTTAGGAAGAGGGTACATGCCATTATTGATAAGTACGCTGAGCGTGGACTTAGGTCGTTGGCAGTTGCTCGTCAGGTACTTCTTTTACCTGTGATTTTTGATGTTTCCAGTGGTCTGTCTCCTTTGTGGCTCAGAGACAATTTTTTAATTGTTTGATTCATTATCTTATTTCTTCTCAGGTGGTGCCAGAGAAAACAAAAGAAAGCCCTGGTGGTCCATGGGAATTTGTTGGCTTGTTGCCTCTTTTCGACCCGCCTAGACATGACAGTGCAGAAACCATTCGGAGAGCTCTGAATCTCGGTGTTAATGTCAAGATGATCACTGGTAACCATGCTTTATTCCTTGTTCATCGATCCTACTGTAAAAACGAGCAATTTATATGTTTTCCCCCTAACTTGCTCTTTGACTCTGTGCTCAGGTGACCAGCTGGCCATTGGTAAGGAAACTGGTCGTAGGCTTGGAATGGGAACCAACATGTATCCATCTGCTTCTTTGCTTGGCCAGGACAAGGACTCCAATATTGCAGCAATTCCCGTAGAGGAGTTGATTGAAAAAGCTGATGGGTTTGCTGGCGTCTTTCCAGGTTATAAGTTGCTTGATATCATATTTGGTAATTCTGCATCATCATCATATGTTAACTGTGAAGATGTTTGTGCTGATCCAAGATTATATCTTCTTTTGATTCATTGCAGAGCACAAGTACGAAATCGTGAAAAAGTTGCAGGAGAGGAAGCACATTGTTGGAATGACAGGTGATGGTGTCAATGATGCGCCTGCTCTGAAGAAAGCCGATATCGGTATTGCTGTGGCTGATGCTACGGATGCCGCTCGGGGTGCTTCAGATATTGTTCTAACCGAACCTGGTCTGAGCGTTATTATTAGTGCAGTGCTTACTAGCAGAGCTATTTTCCAGAGAATGAAGAACTATACCGTCAGTCTTCTCTCACGATCACTACTTGTTCTCTTGCACTGAATACTTTTAACACTCTTTTTTTTAATCTTTTGTTTACAGATTTATGCAGTCTCCATTACAATCCGTATTGTGGTACGTAAACAAACTAAACTGGATTAGAATTCTATCACTTGTTTGACATGATAAACCTTTATTAGTTCACTGATAGTATTGATTCTGCGTTGATTTCTTGGTTTTCACAGTTGGGTTTCATGCTTATTGCTCTCATATGGAAATTTGACTTCTCAGCATTCATGGTTCTGATCATTGCTATTCTCAATGATGGTGAGCTTATAGTTTTTAACTTTGCTTGCTTTGTCTATCTAATCTTTTTCTCGGCATCTTTAATCTGATGGTATTATGGGTTGCTATCTGTTAGGTACTATCATGACCATCTCAAAGGACAGAGTCAAGCCATCTCCCACACCCGATAGCTGGAAACTCAGAGAGATTTTCGCTACTGGAGTCGTGCTTGGTAGTTACTTGGCCATAATGACTGTCATTTTCTTCTGGGTGATGTTCAAGACCGACTTTTTCTCGGTACTGAATCAATCTTTACTCTTCTTATCAAATTCTTGGCTAAGGCATTGCAGTTGTTCTATCTCTGAGACACTTTGCTAAGCCATAAAGTTATGTTTCTTCTATATTCACAGGACAAGTTTGGTGTGAGGTCTATCAGAAACAGCCAGGATGAGTTAATGTCTGCTTTGTATCTACAAGTTAGCATTATTAGTCAAGCTCTGATCTTTGTCACGAGGTCAAGGAGTTGGTCCTTTGTCGAACGTCCCGGGCTGCTACTGATGACTGCCTTTGTTATTGCACAATTGGTAAGAGGCATCGAACTTAACAGATTTTGATAGATTACAACTGCACATCCGGAAACTTTCCTCACGAACCCAATATTCATTTTTTCTTGAAGATTGCAACATTCATAGCTGTGTATGCCGACTGGGGATTTGCAAAGATTAAGGGTATTGGATGGGGATGGGCCGGTGTGATCTGGCTGTACAGTTTGGTGACGTACTTCCCACTGGACGTCATGAAGTTTGCCATCCGATACATCTTGAGCGGAAAGGCCTGGCTCAACTTGTTCGAGAACAAGGTACGTACTTAGATCTATCTCTTACTCCGATATCTCTCTTCACTGCTTCCGTGCCCTGAAAAAAGTCGGTAATGTGATAGAAACCCTTTATCGAGATGAACTTCCCGCACTTTAGGAGCCCGGGAGTCTTCTTAATCATAATAATAATGCTGATTGTTTTATCTTTTTTTTTCCACAACAGACCGCTTTCACCACCAAGAAAGATTACGGAAAAGAAGAGAGAGAGGCTCAATGGGCCCTCGCTCAAAGGACACTTCACGGTCTTCAACCAAAAGAATCCGGTAATATCTTCCCCGAGAAAGGAAGCTACAGGGAATTGTCCGAGATCGCAGAGCAAGCAAAGAGAAGAGCCGAGATTGCAAGGTAAGAAACAAAACCCGTGATTTCGATTATATTCTCAGACGGTTTTAGAAATTGAGAAGTTATTGAAGCTGAATGTGGGTGTGGATTCAGGCTTAGGGAGCTGCATACACTAAAGGGTCATGTGGAATCAGTGGTGAAACTCAAGGGCTTGGACATTGACACTCCTGGACACTACACTGTCTAGTCGGAAAACCAGACAGAAGGAGATGGCTCTTTTCACCTCTTCTTCTTCTTCTTCTCTTTCCCCATGTTTTCATTTTGATTCCCCAAACGTACTTTGCAATTTGCCTTGGAAGAGAACAGAGTCTGTTTGTATCTGTGGTTTGGCTCACTCCTCTTTGCTCGTTGTTTAATGTAATGAGGCCAATTGTAATTTTGTACTCTTCACTAGCCTTTTATACAACGATGATTTTTCCTCCTATTTTCGCCTTCGTTGCTTTCGTCACCAGTCTTTCACCTTACGTACACTACACGTGCAATGATACGATAATCTGATAAAGACCAAGTAAGGGATGAAATTGAATAATAAATAAATAAATAAATGAATGAATTATTTGTAGGAAGATGACAAAACGAAAGATTTGCTTAGAGAACTCATGTCGTGTTTGAACAAAACATAAGATAATGCTCAATCCACCATGGAGTTACATGTTCAAAGACACACACACACAAAAAAAAAAATGTTTGTCATTAAGCTTAATTTTTTAAACTTAATGACAAACAAATTAAAGAAAAAAATAACATAAAAAAGTAAATTTATTCGACAAGAGATTTAAGAACAAGCATCTGCAACTCAAGACACCCAATGTAACTCCCAATCTCACTTAACGTTTCTTCCACACCCATTTCTTCTCCTCCCGGAAGAAGCTTCTGCAGTTCTCTCAGCCTCTTCCTTGTCTCTTCTTCTTCTTTGCCTCGTTTCTGGGATCTTTCTAGAATATTCGCCTCATCGAAGCAGAAGCTTTGGTTAGGGCTAGAAGAACTACTCGTGGGTTCACCAGGGCAAGATAACTTCTGTCGCAAGAAACGGCTCCAAGCGAATTCTTGAGCCGACAAGGCCAATGCCATATCGACTTCATGCTTCACGTTTTGTTCGTGAAGTTCTGAAAGACAGAACTCTCTCAACACAAACTTTTCTGAAAATCTGGAACCCTCACTCAATTCCATAAAACTCCCACACATCTATTAAACTTCATACAACGTACATATACATTAAACAGAAACTGTCTTTAACCATTAGAAAGAAATAACTGCACACTAACACACATACATAACTGACACATTAAATAAAACAGCAAAAAAAACAGATCAGCTTAAAACCACACTCCTTGCACACGTGCTTGACTTGAACCAATACCAACAATCTCCTCCTTGGTTTAAGGTCGAGCACACACACCAATCAACCTTCTGAGCAACTCAAACCTTCCTGGATTAAACGCCTTGGTAAACAAATCAGCCACTTGATTCTCAGTTTTGCAATACACAACCTGAATTTCACCTTCTTGTTGAATCTCCCTTAGAAAGAAATACTTCACTTTAAAGTGCTTTGTCCTGCCATGGAAAACAGGATTCTTCGAAATGGCAATAGCTGCCTGATTGTCCACATTGATCTGAGTTGGAATCCTTGGATTGAAACCCAAATCACACAGAATTTTTCTGAGCCAGATTGCTTGGTTTGCTGCTGCAGTTGTGGCAATGAATTCCGCCTCTGCAGTTGACTCAGCCACCACCTCCTGCTTCTTAGAGCTCCACGAAAAACAGTTTAAACCAAGCATGAAACAGAAACCAGAGGTACTCTTCATGTCTTGAGTTGAACCAGCCCAATCACTATCAGCAAACCCAACCAAATCGGTTTCAAAATCCGACTTAAACAGAACACCATAATCAAGTGTTCCCTTCAAATATCTCAACACCCTTTTAGCTGCCACCAAATGACTCCTCCTTGGATTATTCAGAAACCTCGAAAGTACATTAACAGCAAACAACACATCTGGTCTAGATGCTGTTAAGTACATCAGACATCCAACCAAGCTTCGATAGTTCCTTTCATCAACCTCTTCTTCTGTTTCGTCAAGCACTAACTTCTCCTTCATGTTCATGGGTGTTCTCACACTCTTACAGCCATCAAACTTGAACTTCTTCAATATTTCTGAGAGATACTTCCTCTGGCATATAAAAATCTCCCCTTTACTCTGATTTATCTCAATTCCCAGAAAGAAAGATACTTGACCAAGATCAGACATCTCAAACAAGCTCATCAGCTCCTTTTTCACTTTCTCAATCACTTGAACACAAGAACCTGTAACTAACAGATCATCTACATAAAGTGAGATGACTGTAGTACTAGTTCCTTGTCTCCTCACATAGAGAGTTGCCTCACTTAAGCTCCTCTCGAAACCAATCTTTTGAAGATAGCTGTCAATTTTCCCATACCAGGCTCTAGGTGCCTGTTTAAGACCATAGAGAGCCTTCTTCAATCTGTACACATAACCTTCTTTTCCATTCACTTCGAAACCTTTTGGTTGTTCCACATAAATTTCTTCTTCCAAGTCTCCATTTAAGAATGCAGACTTCACATCAAGATGATAAACCTTCCACTTTTTCTGAGTTGCCACTGCAAGTATAAAACGTATAGTATCAAGTCTCGCAACGGGAGCAAATGTTTCTGAAAAATCCACACCCCAAACTTGCGAGTAACCCTTCACAACCAACCTTGCCTTGTACTTATTAATCGTGCCATCAGGATTCAGCTTAGTTTTATAAACCCACTTCACTCCTATGACATTTTTATTTTCTGGTTTCTCCACAAGCTTCCAGGTTTCATTTTTCTGAATCATGTACAGCTCCTCCTTCATTGCAGACCTCCAATTCTCATGCTTCCAAGCTTCTTCAAAGCTTGATGGTTCAAATACAGCAACATTACTCCTCTGATATATCTCACTCAGGCTTCTTGTACCCCTTACTGGTTGATCATCAAACTCAGCATCCTCTATAATATCTTCAATTTCCTGCTGCACATCTTCCTGAGTTTGATCCAACGCAGGTTCACGAATACTTTCAGAATCAACTTCCCCTTGCTGAGACCAATTCCAATTCTTATGTTCCAGAAAACGAACATCACGACTGACAAAAACCTTGTTAGCATCAGGAGAATAAATCCTGTAAGCTTTCGACACCAAACTGTATCCCACAAAGATGCCTTCAATTGTCTTTTTATCCAACTTATCTCTTCTCACATCTGGAACCAATGAGTGACAGACACAACCAAACACTCGGATATGCTCCAAGGATGGTTTCCTACCAGTCCAAGCTTCAAATGGTGTCAACTTTTGCAAGGCTTTAGTTGACAACCGATTCTGTAGAAAAACTGCAGTACCACAAGCCTCTGCCCAAAAACATTTTGGTAGCTTCTTCTCAAACATCAAACATCTCGCCATCTCCATAATGCTTCTGTTCTTCCTCTCACTCACCCCATTTTGTTGGGGTGAGTAAGGAACTGAAAACTGGTGCTTTATTCCAGCTTCCTCACAAATCTCCTTAAACCTGTTGGAAGTGTATTCTCCTCCATTATCAGACCTTATGATCTTAATCTTGCTCCCAGCCTCATTTTCCACCTCTCTTTTATACTTCTCAAACACTTCTGCAACTTCAGACTTTTCTTTTAAAAAGAAAATCCAGCACATGCGAGTAAAATCATCTATAAAGATGACAAAATACTTACTTCCAACCAGGGATTCTTCCGGCATCGGGCCACAAACATCTGTGTGTATAAGTTGTAGCTTATACTCAGCTCTCCACTTTGCATCACCAAATGGTAAACGTGTTTGTTTCCCTTCGAAACAGACACTACACTCACTGAAATGCTTTCCAAAGACTGGCAAACCTGAAGCCATGTCATTTTTCTGCATATGGACCAGACCATCAAAGTGAAAATGGCCTAGTCTTTTATGCCAAACGTCTTCTTCAGCAACTACACCTTTCATTGCCTCAACCTTGACCTTCTGCGGATTGAAAACGAAAGCCTTGTTTCGCATTCCAACTTTAAACAGCACTCGATCAGAAGTATCCTTGATGATACACTCCTGATTATCAAATAACACTTTGTAACCTTTATCAATCAGTTGTCCCACACTTAGGAGATTCTGATCGATCTTAGGCACAAACAACACATCGGACAACACTCTCCAACCATTAGGACCTTTGCACACTACGTCACCTTTGCCTTCGACAGCAATAAATTCACCATTACCTATTCTAACTCTAGCTTTAACAGATTTATCCAGAGTTTTGAAAAGATTTTGGTTACCTGTCATGTGGTTTGTACAACCACTGTCGATCAACCAATTATCATCTTCACTCTTGGAGACAAAGCATGAAGCCACGAACATCTGCTCTACCTCCTTTGCATCAGCATTCACCACCTCTGTTTGCTGTGCCATTTTTGACTTACAGAATTTTTCAATGTGACCACGTTTGTCACACCTTCTGCACTTTAAATTCTTCCAACACCTCCAATGAGGATGTCCTTTCTTGTTACAGTGCTTGCAAGGATCAGGATAACCTCGGTTTTCACCAGATTCTTGACCAGAATGCTGACTACTTCCCTCTACTTTGTGCTTCCAACCAGATTTCTTCCCCTTATCAGCACCTGAAAACTTGGCTTTTGCCTTCAAAGCCCCTTCTGTCGATTCTTCCTTTCGCATTATCCGTCTTTGTTCCTGAGCTTGAAGAGAACTCAGCAGTTCTGCAAGCTTCAGATTCGCCATCTCCTTTGTATTCTCCAGAGAAGCCAATGTAGCTTCAAATCTTTCAGGAACAGAGACCATGATCTTCTGCACAATTCTCTGATCAGTGATATCTGTTCCCAGGATTCGAATCTTATTGACAATCTCAACAAGACGATCAACATATTCCTTGATAGACTCTGATGGTTTCATCTGTTGTCTTTCAAAATCTCTCATCAAATTCAACACTTTCATACCTCGGATCTTATCATCACCTTCAAACTCCTTTTGCAACAAATCCCACATGGCCTTTGCTGATTCCAAATTCATAATCTTCGTGAAAACGGAAGGAGAAACTGCCGAGAAAATGCAAGACATCGCCTTGGCCTTCCTCGTCACCTTCTCCTTATGGCTTCTGATCTGATTGAGTGTCGGATTTCCTGTCAATGGAGGAATCTCATAATCCTCCTCAACAGCTTCCCACAAATCTGATCCTTTCAAGAATACCTTCATCTTGACAGACCAGACCTGATAATTCTCGCCATCAAACATGGGTGGAGACATGCTTGAAAACGAAGACCCAGAAATATCGCCTTGCTCCATTGAAAAACAAAGCCTCTTCTTCAACACACTCACAGACCCTTTTAAGATCAACAAATGCTCTGATACCACTGAAGTTCTGAAAGACAGAACTCTCTCAACACAAACTTTTCTGAAAATCTGGAACCCTCACTCAATTCCATAAAACTCCCACACATCTATTAAACTTCATACAACGTACATATACATTAAACAGAAACTGTCTTTAACCATTAGAAAGAAATAACTGCACACTAACACACATACATAACTGACACATTAAATAAAACAGCAAAAAAAACAGATCAGCTTAAAACCACACTCCTTGCACACGTGCTTGACTTGAACCAATACCAACAGTTCGAACTTGGACCGGAGATGGTCGTTTCCCGAAGAAGGCTTGCTCATGCTGATCTTCTTGAGAGCTGGGACTAAATGGTTGGCGTATCTTCTCGCGAAAACCGCTGTCGGGTTCCTGTTTGGTTCGGTAGAAATTACTCGTTTCCTCTTGTTTATTTGTCTCCCCATGTGAGGATATAGATTCAAGAAGACGAAGGATTGTAGCCATGGAAGTCTGCAAGGGAGACACTTATATAGCAAACTCGCGATTTGTGCGCGTATGAGAGAGAGAGAGAGAGAGAGAGAGAGAGAGAGAGAGGGGTCCTACGCATGTAGAGGAGCCTATAGAGTTGATGCTGTAGGTGCGAATGAGTTATGTTGTAGAGCTCATAATATTTCACACACATGCAATTTTTTTTTTGGATTAGACAATTAAGATGATTTATGGAGGTTTTAGAGGTGAATTTTATAATCATAATGTACAAACCATAATGTTATAATTAAGATATCGAAACAGGATTATATGTATCCATGAAACATAAGTAGTTTAATTTTAATGTAATTAATGCGCCAAACAAAGACATGCTATTATTAATCAAAATCAAGGTGGTAAAATGGGAGGGGGAAGTACGGAAATAGAGTGAGAGAAAGAGAAGAGGAATAATGGTGTGGAAGAAACAACACATGGAGTCACATGCAAGAGCTCTTCTTTGCTTCGTCACACCTAACCCTAATATATATATATATATATGTATGTATGTATATATAGAGAGAGAGCCTATAGCATGTGGCACCAATGCAAGAACAAGACATAAAATAAAACCCAACCCCCCATTAATGCCCTCACATGTCTCCCTCTCGCATACAAATCTTTGTATGTGTATGTGTATGTGTATGTGTATGTGTATGTATATGCATGTGCATGTGTATGTGTATATGTATGAGTATTTTCAAGCACCCTTTGGACTTTTCTTATAATATATTAAAATTGTTTGTAGGCTTCAATTATTACAACAATTTGTACTCGTTACTAAATGTGAAATAGTTAATATAACACTGTTAAAAAAAATTAGCATACTCTTGTTGCACATTTTTACATTAATTGAGGGGGGAAGAAACCTTGTTCAGGAAAATATTCTTGAAATTTCATCATCTATCCTTTTTTTTAGATTATTATATATTTTTTTCTGAAAATATATTTTAAGTATTGAGTTTGCATAAAGATTAACCCCTATACATATAATAGATATCTTTAAAAAATGATTATTTCATCTAAATTTCCCATTTCACATCGAACAACGGCTAGATCCTCTCCTACTTACACTTTCCTCTTTCCTTCAACCATCTTCACATGCACTTCCCTCTTCCTCTCACTCACCCTATAAATAATATTCCCAAAATGTATATATTTTTTTTAAGAAAATCATTGAGAATTAAATTTTCTTACACGGTTTCACGGCTTTAGTCCTTAAATAAATAAAAAATAATACAAAATCATTTAATTCATTTAATTTAACAAAAATATAGATGGACTTTGCCCGTCAGAATCATGAAAAATCGTACATCACTGTCAGAACAAATTGTACAAACCTGAAGAGTGGTTATAATAATGTAAATGAATGGCATGTCGTGAATTTCTTTATTTCTCAATTATTAATAACATATGAAATTAAATTTGGGACCCAAAAGGGGTTTGAATTTGGTGGATGGTTTTGAGTTATTTTTTTTCTACATGTTTTTTTTTTGTTTGTACTCTTAATTTGGATACATTTACACAAATGCTCCCACGTGCACCACTTGGACCCTCCATTTTTTAATCCATTAATATACCACGACACGAAAATAAATGTTTTTATCGAACCAATGTCATTTAATTCTCTATACCCACGAAATCAAAATCCAAGTTTTTTTTTTCCTATAATACGATGATTAAATAAAATATCAGGCAATTTCAAGGTAAGAATATACCGATTACAAAAGTGATTAATGCATTTATATCAAATGATGTACTATTACAATACTCGATACTAAATCAATATAATTCTCTTAAACATTTATTTTTCTAGACCAAACATAAGTTAGACCAAATTGAATTACGTATCGTTTAATATTATAATCAGAGATATCGTGAAAGTCCAATGGTTATTAATTGTTATTTTTATTTAACTATGATTTTGTCGTTACAATTTCATCCCCGTTTACAGTGCCGTAAAGCAATTTTTCAGTATATAGAAAGAGTAATTATAATCGAACATTAAAGTAGAAAAAGGGTCTACATGTTATTAGGGGTGTCACACGAGCTCTCTCAGATCGTTTGAGATTCGGTTTGTTTGGTTCGGATTGTTTTGAACTCTGTTTTCTAACGAGCCAGAAAAATCTCGTCTCAAATCGTTCGCCAGTTTTCTGATCTGAACGAGCCAGTTCGTTGAGTCTGAGATATATAATATTTTTTATTTATATTTATTCTAAATTTAACTATAAATTTAAATAAATATATAAAAAAATTAATAAAACTCCAATATCATAAACTATATAAAACAATATTGGTTGAGATTTCAAAAGATAAAAAAATAATCTAATAATAGATAAATTTAGAATAAATATATAAAAAAATTAATAAAACTCCAATATCATAAACTATATAAAACAATATTGGTTGAGATTTCAAAAGATAAAAAAATAATCTAATAATAGTTCAAATAATTTAAAATAGATAATAACAACAAAATATGTTTCAATAACATTTTCATATTTATACTTTAATTTTAATTTAATATTTTCAATTATCACCATCATAATAATTATGATATTTAATATTTCATATGAATGATATGAAAAAAATATATAAAATTATATTAGATTTTTTTATATAAATTTAATTTTTCTTAAAAAGAAAAGTCAGCTTGTTAAGCAGCTCACCACCTCGCCGAGCTAGGCTCATTGAACACGTATTAAATGAATCTGATCGTTAGGCTCGTTTTTTAATGAGTTGAAAAAATCATGGCTCAAATCGTTCATTTTCTGGCGAGGCGACCCACGAGCCGACTCGCGAGACGAGTTCGTTTTGACACCTCTACAAGTTATGCAGTATTGTAAAATCATCTATAAAGATGACAAAATACTTACTTCCAACCAGGGATTCTTCCGGCATCGGGCCACAAACATCTGTGTGTATAAGTTGTAGCTTATACTCAGCTCTCGAAAAGGACAGAGAACACGTAGTGAAACAGACTGGCGAGAGTTCCTCCTCGTATTTGGTAAGAAATGCAACAACGAGTCTCAATCTCCTTCACATCATTTTTTTCCTATTTATCTCTTCTTTTTTTTTCTTCCTGTAACCCATTTTTTTCATTGTTAATATTACATTTTCCCTATTTCGTATAATGTTTTTTTTTTAATTTTTCATATTTATTTTTTATTTTCACCGAACATGGGTATTTTACATTTCTTTTCCATTTATTTAGTAAAAGCAAATTTTGGTTTATTTCGATTCCAATCATCTCAAACATTTTCCTCTAATATATATATAGTTGTAGTTTATTCCTTTGTTTTTTTTTTAGGGATGTCAATTAAGCCCGGAGCCCGAAACCCGGCCCGAACCCGCCCGAAAATTATAAGGACATGGGCCTAAAAAATGTAGGCTCATTAAACTTCGGGCTTTCGGGCCTCGGGATAAATGGACTATGGGTCGGTCAGGTCTCGGGCTGGGCTTGAGGTCCGTTAATTTTTTTTTGTTTTTTCTAACCTTCTTTTCTAAACCAAAGTTTTACCTCTCTAT